CGCAAAATGGAGTTAGCATGAATAATTAGTACCAAATTCATGATTAGGAACGTCAGTAACCCTTACAAATAGACTTTGATTGAAAAACTGGTGAAAAAGGTGTGACTAGGGACCCCCTTTTCTGGTATTCAGAGGGCCGTTCAGGAAAAATTAACCATGGTTCTGTGGTTCCCGCATGTGCCCTCTATATCATGCAAAAGACCGTTTTGAAAAAGCTTGGCACACCCTGAAAGACCTTCCTTGTTAGATGTTCTTACTGAAATGTAAACAAATAACATCGAATTAAAATACAGTCGTGACCACTAAAAAACACTGTAATGGTGTGGAAGCGAGCTGTATATAGTTTCTTGTCTATATCTTGTCTTTCTTCCTAGTTTACCGATGCCCCAAAATAATAACAAAAACACAGGAGATTTCTTCCATAACTCAAACGTACCTCACTTTGATCAAAAAAGGTGTCCTTGTGTGTCATTAGGTAAGCACCCGTGATGAAATCCTACAAGGACAAGGTAAAAACCAATTTCACAGCAAGATTATCCAAAGAAAATGATGAAAGTGGAGTGCCGGCTACAAGGCACTAAATTCATAGACTTATATGGTCAAAAAAGGAAGAATTCCATTGAGCATGGATGAAAACGATACCTGAATGGCAGCCACCAACGGCTCGCCGGATCTCGGGGTAACAAGATTACTTTTCACACCCATTAGTAGACTGGCCTCGGCTCTCGCCTCTTGTGTCTGTGGTACATGCAAATTCATCTCGTCACCGTCAAAATCAGCATTGTAGGGAGCGCAGACACATTCATTTAATCTAAAAAACCGTCTAGAATTCGAACTAAACACCATCACACCCTTCAACTCACCTAAACGTCTTTCCTTGCATGACCCTTACACGGTGACACATTATTGACACCTTATGAAGAGATGGTTGTCGATTGAACAATACGATATCATTGTTATCAACATGGCGTTCCACAATATCACCAACCTTCAGGTTTTTGGCACACATTTCACGGTTGCTGTATCTAAAAATTCTCGTTCATATAGCTATGTATATTTTTCAGACTTTTCAGAAACTTCACTTCGTTATAGGGTTTTTCTGTATAAACATTTCCCCTCTATTGAACTGTTCATCGCATTCATTGAAAGTACTAACACATTGACGATAGCACGTTCTTGCCTTTCTGGCTGCTTTTCTTGACCGCATGGAACGGACGCAGACCCACGAGCGCTGCAGCCGTGATTCGACATTGGATCACGTCTTAGGCTAGGTGTCAGAGTCCGCGATCCGTCGCAGGTTTCGCTGATTTCGCGATTTGCGCGATTTTCGCGAAACCTGCGATGGATCACAGGAGTTGGAAGTGCCCGATGAATACTGCGAGGTGTTGTTTAATCCTGCTGCGAATTCTGCTTGACAGTAAAGATTGGAAGACGAATGTTTGTGGTTCTACTTGTTTCATGTTCAATGTCTATTAGTTCATTGAAATGCTCTTGATCGTTCCTATTCTTATCAACAAGTGGAATCATGAGGGCAGTCGTCATTCAGCCATCACTATCAAGCAGAAGTGGGCGGCATTGGAGAACACCTTGCAGTATTGATGGGGCACTTGTGGTTACCGTGACCCGTCGCGCAAATCGCGAAAATCGCGAAAATCGCTGAAATCAGCGAAACCTGCGACGGATCGCGGACTCTGACACCAGCCTTACAATGAGTGTGCTTTCTGGCTCGAACGTAGTGCAGCGCAGAAAGATGTATTCCATGGGCGTGACTCGGGGCCGTATCACGCCGTCTCATGCGGTCTAAAAAGTGTGGCCTGAAATCGGAACGAGCTGCAGTCGATGTATAACCTGAGGCAAGAAAGTAAAAATTAAGTTCTGCACGAGTTCCTGCTATTATGTATAGCCTTTGAAAGGATGCCTCACTCCCATAGGTGATCACCACCAAAGTATCAAAAACGAAACTAACTTGAGTAATCGCCTTACTCCAGAAACGTGGTCGACGACGTAATTAGCACCAGGATGAGTATCCGGTCCAGAAATAATGAGCTTCTTCATGCGCGTAATATTATATTCGTTAACGATTTCTGGATATGTCAGAGTGAGCGCCACCTCAAGTGGTACACCAACCTCATCGATCCTCAAATTCGGATCTGGCGATATCACCTTCAAACACTTTATTATAAGCTTCGTCATTACGCTGCTGTGGTGCACAATTGTTGTAACGAAGATCTTTGCTAGGCTGAACTTTGGAATAATTCGGGATCACCCTACAACGCGCCTCAACGAACAATGAGGACGGATGGAGCCATCAGTATGTGAATGTGAGGGCCTCTCACACCTGAGACAACTTAAAAATGAAAATAAAGTTCAAACTTCAAGAGCTCTTGAACTCAAAAACCCTACCGTCCTGGCGGTGTAGTCCACACGTTTTCCTGATAAATTCCCACGGAAACGACCATGCTTACCCTTCAGACGTTGGTACAGACCACGGAATGGCTGGAAACAAGATTACCCTATATTAAAGGAATCTTCCACGGAAAAAGCTCCGCCCTCATTACCACAGAAAACGATACCTTAAAGGAATCTTCCACGGAAAGAGTGATCATTTTGTCTTGTGTGTAGGATTAGTATTATCGAAACTAACGCTTATGTTCCGTTCTTTTTGCTATGCTCATGAGGCTAGGGGCCTAAGGGGTATCGTTTTTCTGTGGTAATGGAGGCGGAGCTTTTTCCGCGGAAGATTCCTTTAAAGAGAAAAAAATCCGTGCTGCAGTTCTGTGCGGTCTGCACGCGCCTTCTACACTAAATGGATTCTATCATTGCTGAAGACATTATGGTGATTCTGCTGTCATATAGACAGAAAATGTCAAAATACAATGAAAAGACCTATACATTTTTTGGTAATGGACCTTACTTTACACTCACAGCTAATGCCAGATATCCTCAAACGCACTAACTCAAGCGCAGACGGAGGGCGCCGCTGGTGTCTCAAAGCGCTTTACAGAATGTGCTCAAAACATACGGCAATACATAAGGCAGTAAAGTTAATATAATACACTGCGACGCATAATATAGTTCCACCTACAAATTTCCCAAAAACTTGAATCTGGGATGTTTTTGGAAAAGGCTCTACAGATAAATTGTGACACATATAAACGCGAATCTGAATATTAACACGGAAATCCAGTTTGAGAAAGCAACAATTTTTTATCCTATTTTTTTCGAAAATATCCGCTTTAGCTTCTCCGCTGCATTTTGCTTTTACCCAATCAAAATTTGGAATTATTATCCATTCAAGTTCCTTAGCCAAAGGCAAAACCGCTGTCACACTTCCGTAAAAGGGAAATCCTAGCAAAAGAGACGCAGGAATTGTCAAAGTGTCAGCTCCGCTGGAATTTGTCGGGGTGACTTCATAACGAACAAATTTCTCAAGGATGCTACAGGATATGACTGGGAGGAACCCTGATTACTATCCGACTGAGATAAGCGCCGTATCGTGAGAAAATGATATCCAGCCGGGTACTGAAATTGTAGGTGGAACTATAATTATGCGTCGCAGTGTAGGTCGCAAGGAATTAAGCGTGTACATCGGAACGAAGCTATCACTATCTCGATCAAGAAAATGAAAGAAATAGCCAAATAAACGATTGACAACCTTCTTTTGCCGCAGTTCTGGTGGCAAAGCAGGCAGTTCTCCGTTGAAGTATAGTGCAACTTGTATCTGCAGAACGTCTCCTGCCATAAACTTCCATACATGAGTTTAAATGTAAAAACTACCTGTAAGTGATCCCATGTTTCCATAACTGTTTTCATAGGTGCACCGCCTTCTTTGTGCTTTTGCAGCACATTATTGATAAGAATAATTTCAGCAAGTTTCACTGTCAAATCATCTTCGGTTGATCCACTTCCCGTTTCTGAAATATATGTTCAGAGTATAAGTAAAAATAAGTTTAGAATGAGAATGGGATAGCAATACTAAGTCTACCTGACGGTACTGATGGTCGAATACATGCCGGTGGCACAGGAATCCTTGTCAAAAGTAAGTCGTTAGGGTGCTTAGCCTCCCCTGAGCGTAGCATTAAAATTGGAATATCCTGAGGCACATCTTGGATTCACATAAATATCACTATCAAAGGAAAAAGTCAAAAATTACAACATTACATACCTCTTTACTGACGTTATTGAACAATTTTTGAACACGTAACGGATTCAAAAGAGTGAACTTCGTGCTAAGGAGAGAATCGCGAATTGTTGAATTGGCCTCCATAACAGCTGAGTACTCGGACATCTGGAAAGGTGGGTTGACCCTGCGGAAGCCTGTTCTTAGCTTTTGAACAAATTGCGTTCCACGAAGAACTCAAAGATGATCGCCCAAGTTTTACTCCTTGGCCTGAAAATTTTACTACAAAATAATTCATAGATTACGACTTCGAAAAACGAGTATTTTGAGAAAAGTGGCAATCCCATCGATTAAGTAAATAAGTGAGTGGAGTGGAATTCCGCGAAAGAAGGTTAAATAAGTCTTAATTGGGTTTCTACAATCTCACCATTTTAAGAAAATCAAGCAATCGAAAACCACTCATAAGTTTTCTTATATTCGTATTCAATACATCCAAACCGCTTCGAAGTTCGCTTCCGCCATTCTCAATTTCACCGAATTTTCCTACAGTTCATATGTATATTAATTCCTTTCGTGGACTATTCAATCTCAAATGTTGGGACCACTTCGTACAACGCTCAACCTTCTTTTATTAGTCTCTGTCAATTATCGTAGTCCGTGATCCAGAGTGGCGAAAGCAAGCTACGGCAGTCGACAGCGAGCTGCACCAAAGCTGGAGGAGCCGTGAATCCGGTGGGAATCTGCCTCTCTCCACAAGGACATGCTCACTGTGAGTTAATGGATGCCAAAAAATCAATCTAGATCGATTGCATTCGTAAATGGAGCACTGAGGGTGTTCGAGAAAGCCGGATACTGTTCAGCTACATAATATAACCTCAAAAATCAACATAAAAAATCATGAACCTCTGAAATCCCGTCTACAGAGTATTCAGTGCTCCGCTCACAGAAATGACATTAATTCTCGACTACTGCTCCATCGGCGCCAAATCCATTTCACAAGAAATCGTTAAAACTACACATAGACAGAATGAACGATTTCTTCTCGGAAATCAAAGGTTGTCACAATTTAACAGTTGAATATGGCACAGAGAATTTGTTAAAATGAAAGGGCGCGGTTAGAAATACTAGAAGGCAATCAAACGAGAAGAAGACCTGGAAACTCTTGAAAAGGCGATCCATAAGCGAAAGCTGAACACGGATACGCTATTAATATCTTTTGGGGAATAGCAGCAAGTCACCTCATCGCGAATTCCAAAGAATCTAATGATTTTGAGCACAAAGTGGTGGATTACCTTGTATTCACGTATCTCGCATCCATAGGCAATTTTTAGTAGTGATCCTGGAGCCTTCCGTACAATTCCTTAATTAGATGACTTTAAAAAATAGCTCTGGAATATTATTAGATTATGCCCAAACACTTAAACAATGAACGATAACTTCGAACATTCCCAATCTAACATAAAGCATCCACTTCAGAAGGAGGGGGATTTCGTAGGCCACTTTACCGGCATGGCAAGGCTGAAGATTATTAGCATAACTGAATTGCCACTTTAATCCCATAGGTGTGCGAAGGACAAATAAAAATTTTTTTCTGTCCTTGAAGATGTTCTCAGGGAGAGAATTTTTTGTCATGAGCATACCTATGGGATTAAAGTGGGCAACATAGTTATACTATCA